TGATTCTGAGCTGAGGCAAAGTCCAGTGACTTGGAATGAAGCTCTGTCTCTCTTATACACCTGATAGAAAGGAATAAGTGACAGGGCGATCTTATCCTGCACTGGAAGCCAGGAGTGCTCCCAGTTTGTTGACCAAAGGAGAACAGGCTCTCTCTGATGGGCAATGGATGTTTGCAAATATATTTATTTCTGATGCACAAGTTGAAACTTTTAAAATGTAGTCTTCTGACAAGCCTGGAGTTAGTACTGAGATGGATTAACATAAATCAGCAGTGCAGCCAAGACAGAGAGGGAGTGCTGCTTATGACTATCCCCAGAGCACAAAACAGTCACCACCTGTTCTTTGTTCTTTTTCTGTTCCTTGGTTTTGGTATTGGACTATTCTGAAGATTTCCAACTCATCCCGTACACCAAGCACTTTGTAAAGTTCCCCCTTCTCAACCACAGGACTAACTTGTAGCCACCTTAGCAAGAAGGTTTCAAATAAGTTGTTTTTAAAACTAATGATAGCAAAGGCAAATGCAGCATGAACCTGGATTGTGGTGATCTAATGGCCTCATTTCTGGCACAGAAATCTGACTGGTGTTTAATTTGCAATTCGTTTCAACAAGTGAAGAAGGGGAATTAGTTCCCCTCTTAATAACCCCTTTATCAGTTGGTTGCAACAAATATTTTTATTTCCTTTTAGCACATAGGTATTATCACGCTAATTAAAAATGTTGCCAACTAGATAACAATGAAGGGGCCAATTACAAAGTTTTCTTGAGTGAAAGAAAGAGGAATTTTATTATCTGCTAACCCTAGAAAATATAATGAAAGATGTCATCAAATGCAACACATAGGTAATATATTTTAAAAAAAGGAGAGACTGCCTGCTACAGACTGGAAGAATAAAGTTTTTAAGTCCTTATAGTCCTTAAAATGTGCAATTTTTAACCTGAGATTACAGATGTTTAATGGATAACTTGTAGTCTCGGCAGTATTGGAAACTCGAGATAGCTTTGAGTTCTCAGTGAATAGTTATTTTCTCAGTATGCATTTTCACTGGTGTTAGCTTCCAAAATGTTGTTGAAGAGGAATTAGTACCAGAGGGAATGACAGAACCTTCCAGGTTCTGCTGCTCTGAGTCCATCATTCCTTCTCTCTGCTCTGCTGCCTACTAAAGCAGTGACTGAAATACAGTTGATATATATATTCCCAAGTTTGGCTTCATTGTCCAGGCTGACACAAGTCTTTCATCCCCCAACATGTGAAATTATCATACAAGTGTGAATTAAAGTAGGAGATGTAAATTTATTGAAGCTAACACACTTGACTCATTTCAATGTCTTTAGATAAAATGGTATTTTTATTATAGAATGTTTAGCAAATTCCACATGGGACTCCTGAATATGCCTCAATCCTTGATGACTCCAGCAGCCATTTTAGCTGAATATTTGCCTTTTTTTACCCATTAAAGGTCTGCAGAGTACTAATCTAATGATGGAAGTTGAAATTTGATAGTCCATTTTTACCACTATTGTAACAAATTCCCAGGTTCAGATTTGGATTGAACGGTTAGAGTTTGCAGCTTTCGTGCTTTCCAATAAGCAAGACCACAGCATAGCCAGGGTGGTGTGTTTTCCCCTGGTATGCTGTGGTTTATGCACTGTTTATATTTAAAGCACAACAGAATAATAGAAGAACTAAAAGTAACTTGGTAACCATGTGTAGATATCTACACTCTGTTGCTGTGGTTAAAGTGATGCCCTTCAACTGCTCCTTCAAATACAATGTTATCAGCAGCAAATGGATGCAATGAACTATTGATGATTTTAGTAAACTTGCAGGTAAGTTGAGTGAAATTTTATTAAGCCAGAGGGACAGCTGTCAAATGGCCAAATGTGCGCTCTCATCTATAAAGGTGGTTATTGATCACAAATAGCATAAGAAAGCATTAAAATACTCGTCTTAAATGCGCAGGAATTTTATGAACCAAATTTAAGCATCAATGTCATTGGGTGCTGACATTTAAGAGTCATGTTTAAATAAATGTGCCAATCTGAAATCTGCAATATCTTGAATTTGTCAAAATTTGGCAGATTTAGGTCCCAATAATAAGCCAATTGTTGCTTCTCTTTATCTATCAGTGCAGTTAAACTGGCCACTTCGAGTTATGCAAGATTTGCCAATTTGTTTCCTGCTTGTTGGATAGTTTGTTGTTTTTTTTTCTCCTGTTTCCTTGGCTTCCCCCAGATCTATGTGAAGAAATGTAACAAAAGGCAATGTCAGTCTGTTGATGCAGAAATTTAATTAGGTTATTTAATTGCTACATGAGTGATATGATACTGGAACATTTGTTCAATGAATTTGCAGCGTGTTTAACAAACGCGGCAAGTGAAATTAATTATTGATAAACAGGTTTATTCTCATATACTTTGAATTTATGGGTCTTGTGGTGCAGTGGTAGTGACCCTATCTCTTGTCAGCAGGCCCTCGTTCATGTCCCACCTGCCCCAGAGTTGTGTCATAACACGTTTGACCAGTTGGGCGAAGAAAATCTTCTTTTTTTGAAATAATTATCTCATGAAACTGAAGTTAATATCGCTCTAGTTTTCATCCGACTGATAATCAAATTTACTGAAATTCTTTGCAGTTCTCCCCTGAGACTGTGGTAAGGCTTTGCTTATTCCTCAGTTACATTTGTTCACACAAATCATTTATTAGGTTTGATAATTTTAAAATAACTTTGATGTATGTGGATTGAGTAACAATTTGGAATGTTTTAGAAAATAACTTTTTCACAGGCTGAAATGGAAATAAATCTTGTGGAGTTGGGAGGATGGGGATCATTGCTGTGTTACAAGAATTTGTGCTTGGCCATTTTATTTCTCCTGATGCACTGATCATCCAGTGATATTTTTACTAATTTATGCAACGAAGAAGATCGAGCTGCTTAAATGTGGAACTGGCTTTTGAACATTATTTCTACTTTTGTGTCATATTTTGATATCAATTTAAATCTGCTGAGCTGGGAATTAACTTCTTTAAAATTCTTGGAATATGTGCATCACTTGGATTGTGCCATCTTTAAATGTCATTGAACCAAGCAACTTGCTGGGCTTTTCAGAGCCAGGTAAGAATCAACCATGTTGCTGTTGGTCTGGAGTCAGATATGTACCAGACTGGTCATGACCTGCAGGTGAATCATTATTTTTTTAAGGAAAAATGTGATTAGTATGGGAATATTACTAGATTAATAGAATTATGGAGTTGTGCAGCACAGAATGGGGAGGCAATGGCCTAGTGCTATTATCGCTGGACTGTTAACACAGAGACTGAAGTAATGTTCTGGGGACCTGGGTTCGAATCCCGCCATGGCAGATGGTGGAATTTGAATTCAATAAATATCTGGAAGTAAGAGTCTAATTATGACCATGAATCCATTGCTGAATGTCAGGAAAAACCCATCTGATTCACTAATGTCCTTTAGGGAAGGAAACTGCCATCCTTACCTGGTCTGGCCTACATGTGACTCCAGACCCACAACAATGTGGTTGACTCTTAACTGCCCTCAAACAATTATGAATGGGCAATAAATGCTGGCCTAGTCTGTGACACCGTCATCCCCTGAATGAAATAAAGGAAACAGACCCTTTGGTCTAATTTGTCCATGCTGACCAGATATCCTAAACTGATCTAGTCCCATTTGTCAGCATTTGGCCATATCCCTCTAAAGCCTTCCTATTCATATACCCATCCAGATGCCTTTTAAATGTTGTAATTGTACCAGCCTCCACCACTTCCTCTGGCAGCTCATTCCATACACGCACCATTCTCTGTACGAAAAAGTTGCCCCTCAGATCCCTTTTAAATCTTTCCCTTCTCATCTTAAACCTATGCCTCTAGTTTTGGACTCCCCTACTTTGGGGAAAAGACCTTGGCTATTTACCCTAGCCATGTCCCTCATGATTTTATAAACCACTATAAGATGACCCCTCAGCCTCTGACGCTCCAGGGAAAATAACCCCAACCGAATCAGCCTTTCCCTATAGCTCAAACCCTCCAATCCCGGAAACATCCCTGTAAACCTTTTCTGAACCCTGTCAAGTTTAACAGCATCTTATCTATAGCAGGGAGACCAGAATTAAATGCAGTATTCCAAAAGTGGCCTCACCAATGTCCTGTACAGCAATTCGGAATAATCCAGAAGGCCAGTTTAAAGCTCTAGGGGCACGGGTTCAAATCCCACAAGAGCAGCAAGTGGAATTTAAATTCATTTAATTAATTTGGAATATAAAACCCAGCCTTGACATGGTTACCATAACGAACTTTCATTGATTGTTGTAAGAACTCACCTGGTTCACTGACGTCCTGTAGGAAACACAATCTGCTGTCCTTACCTGGTCTGGCCGACATGTGACTTCAGATCTAAAGTAATGTCGTTGACTCTGAACTGCCCTTTGAAATGCCTGAGCAACCCTTTTAGTTCAAGGACATTTAGGGATGGGTAACAAATGCTGGCCTTGCCAGTGATGCCCACATTGCATGAAAGAATAAAGAAAGAGAAATGATGGCAAATTTCTTTTTCAAAGGATGTTAGTGAACTGTATTTGCATCAGTTACTCGGGCTAGCATTTTTCATTCCAGTTTATAGAAGAGAAACTGACTGAATTTACTATCCTTAGCAGCTGAGACTGAGCTAGACAGATTAATAATCAGTAAGGAAATCCTAAAGTTATGGGAAAAGGGCAGGAAAGTGGAGTTGAGGATGATCAGATCATCTGTGATCTTATTCAATGAAAAACAGGTTCAGTGGGCTGAATGGCCTACTCCTATTTCTACATCCCCTGTGATGGGATTGGAACTCATATCTCCAGATCACTGGTTCTGGCCTTTGGATTATCAGTCCAGTGACATATTGCAATGCTGTCACTGCCTGTCAATATTAATATGAACTTTTACTGTATTAATACATTCAAGCATAATTATCTTCATCCCTGTTTTCTCCTGCAGAGTTTGTTGGAGGGAGTGGCAAATGTCCAGTGCCAGCTGCGACTTACCCTCTTTGATACCACATATTCCCATTTTTTTGGCAGAACCTGGAAGAGTTCTCCACAGCCCATAATGCACACCCGTGGCCAGCCAACCAAAGTGTTCTTCAATCAGGTAAGAAAGCATTCAGTGAATGTCATTCTCTGGCTTGTTATATGGTTGATGTTGTGTCTGCTCTGATTAACAGAAGGTAAGTTGATAGTATATTTTCGATCCACTTAAGCTGCCTAGATGCAGCCAAGTTGGATCATGTATTGGACCATTTTCAGAAATAAATGTTTTTATTTCCAGGTGAGGGTATCAGTTTGAAGAATGGAATTCTTTTCAAGTAATGTGACCTCTCAGATACGGAGTAAAACTTCTGGGCTGCCAGAAGACCTTAATCCATAATGTCATGTTATGAAGAATGAGATCTAAATGCTATTCTTTAAAAGTACCCATATAATTATATCCTGAATTTTTAAACAAAGGACATTTTGCTAAGGATGGTATTTACAATGGCATCAATGGTGAACCTGCAAGGAACAGGGTGCTTTGATAGACTCATAGTCTGAAGAACTTTCAGAGAAAAAGTCCAGTTTGTGAGTGGAATATGATGGTAATATTTTTGAACTCAGTCAGAGATAACTTGAGACTTGTCTGAGAAACAACTACCCATTGCTCCATCTCTTTTTGTTTGTAACTCCTCTTAGCAAAGTGTTTGCGTTTATAACCTACCATAAGTCATCTTTATCATTTGTGGAGGATTCTTAAGAGGATTTGTTTGAATCGGCTGCACCATTTAGCAGTCAGGGTGAAATTGTACAAATGAATGGCTTGCAAATTAGATACCAAATGTACAAAGGCAAAGTATTGCTGAAAATCTGCATAAAAGCCAAGCATTGGAAATACTCAGCAAGTCAGGCAACATTTATTAATAAAGAGAAACAGACATGCTGATTCAAGTTAATAACCTTTTGTCAGAATTTATGAAAGATCATTTACCTGTTTTTCTCTCCATGAATGTTGTGTGACTCACTGATACAAAGCATACTTATGATCAGTTATTTAAGCTAGAGTCGTCATCTAGCTACTGAGTCAAAGCATGGACCTACAGTCTGAGGATAGTACTGCAGAGCAAACTGTAGCCGCCCAGATGGCTTGTGCAGGCAAAGAATCACTAACTCAAGTATCCTCACAAAAAAATTGACAGACTAATTCACATCTTGCATGTAGAGGGTTGCTAAGATTAAGCTATGAAGGGTAAGTATGCCTTGATAATTGCTCCAGGAAAGAAGTCCAAAAAAGTCTGTCCCATATCAGCTGGACAGATACATGCCAGAACTGTCTGTGGCATACAGCTTTGTAGGATGTTCAACTCATTGCTGCAGGAAGGGGATGCACCTTGTCCCAGTGCCATGGTCAGTTACAGCTGATTCAAGAATAATTGTCCATACACAGGTGACTTTGCAATCAAATAGTAATCATAGACTAACTTTATTTTACATTAATAGCAAGTATTAATTGCTAAGTTTTCCTAGTTGCAAACTTGAGCATATTTGAAAATTGCATCACTGCTATGCTGTGGTAAGAGCAGTGACCTGTGCTGGCTTGACCTTGATTGGATGGAGACTGTATACAGAAATGATGTTTAACGTTACCTGTAATCTCTCACCAGTGCTCTGTAGTTCAGTACATTTTACCTAGACTTAGGGTAGCAATAAAGCAATGGGTGATAGAATTTTGTTGTTGTCCCAAATATCTCATAGCCAACTTTTGAAAGCTAATTGCTGTTGTATTGTCACCTACACTTGTATCCTTCAGAGTAAGTATCATGAAATCAGCAACAAATGAATGTTGGATTATCCCTAAAACCCCTCTAAGGATTCTCCAGTTGTTCAGATATGAATGTAACATAGATTTGAATTGAGCCTAATAGGTAGGGAAATTTCATGTTGAATTACTTTGCTGACCTTAATTGGGTATCAGAAGAGAATCTACAAGATTTAAAACCCCTGACTTAGACTATCTACACTAAGCTAAATGATGTGTCAGTGTACAGGTGGTTACGTTGTTATATCTGTGCCCAAGGTATCCCTGGTTTCCTCTAAAATTTGGAGCAAATTCACAATCACGATCCATTGTCTATTGCTAATGTGGTTTGGTTTGGTTTGCATTGAGTACTTGCAGCAATCATTATGCCAGAAGGCTGAGTACAGAAATAGCATTAGGCACTTGCTTTCAGCCTGGACAAAAGTCAATGGTGCAATGAAGATGATGTGTGAAAGCAAACTAAGCGATAGATGAAATCGTGGCAATAGATCAGAGGTTACATTAGATATGCTGAAAAGGAGAAGACAAGTCATACTGAGAAGGTGTAAACTATAGTGCAATTACATTTGTTCTTGCCTTATGCCTTGTTTGCGGCTCTATTGTGTCTTTGTAGTGTGTTATCGCTAATACCATTACTTTATCTTTCTCCTTTTGTTATTCCATTGTGTCATTGTTGTGCCCTAGCACTGCACCCCATCATTATGCCAACTTTTATCAGGTTTTGTCACCAGAAAATCGGATGGCTAGAATGAAGAGAACCTTTTTTTTAACTGTGTGACTGAAGTAATTAAATACTAAAATAATACCTTTTCTGGAAGTGGTTAGCAAATTCTGCTACCTTGGGTTAGGATGACAGATCATTTGTCCCATGGTACAGAACTTGATACATGCACAGGAAAAACAACTACCACCTTTGGTTGATCCATGAAACATGCATGGAATAACATCAGGCTAACTCTTTGGATCAAGCTGATTGTTTATAATGCCAGGGTACTCACTATCTTCCTGTATGGCTGTGGTTGATGGCTTGCATCTATCAGGAAAAGAAACTCGGCTATTTCTGTCTTCGCTGGCTGTGTATATCGTGGCAGGGCAAAATCTCAAATGCATGAATGTGGCTGTTCTCCATTTGATGCTACTCATCAAACAGAAGTGGTTTCTTTGGCTCAAGCATGTCTACAGGATGTAAGTCAGATGCATACCTGAGGAATTTCAGTATATTGAGGTAGTTGTAGTCAGATGACCAGCTATGTTCACTCTTTTATTGTTGGTCTTCTGCACAAATCTGAATTCTGTGCATAGCAGTGACTTCTAAAACTGGATGTCAGTGCTGGGAATGGCGCGGCTTGCCAATCAGCACTCGTAGACCCTCAGTGGAAAGGCCACGCAGATCAGAGGTAACATTTGTGACCAAAGATCCAATTCAAGAATGCTTGCAAGCGTGACATAAAGACCCTGAATATCATCTATTGAACTTGATAGTCATTAACTGACAGCAGAGGAAAATAATGACACCTCATGTGGGATGGTGTGCACCGTATACTACAGTGGCTGCCAACAGACGCCAATGTCAAAAGCAATATCCCACAATGACATTTAGTAGCTTCATACATCTCAAGGATTTGCCTCTTCAGCCATTGTCATCACTTCATGAAGACATCCCATTTGGAAATGATCTAATTACTGCGAGTCCATCATCTTTAGTAGGTGAAAGGATGACAGAACGGAAACCGAGAAACTCACAGTCATGAGTGTCCTGTTGTGTAGATTCTCTCAAAATGTCATTCTCACTTGGAGGGAATCTTTTTGATAACTTTATTCAGGTAGGTATCTTGTACCTATGTACCTTTGCTTTTTTAGAACTTAATTATTTTGTGAGTTAGTCTAAAACTAGGGGCACTGCTTAAAAATAAGGGGTCTCCAGTTTATGATAGAGTTAAAGCTGAATTTCCTCACTAAGGGTATTTAGTCTTTAGAATATTCTTCCTCAAAGAGCTGTGGAAGCTTGGTCTTTGAATATATTGAAGGCTGAATTAGATTTTTGATCGACTCGGGAGTCAATATTTATGGGGCAGCTGGACAGGACAGTGGCTCCAAGCAATCACTAAGTTACCGGCCTTGAGATTAGTTGACCTTTGGGATTGATTTTAACGCCCGGTGAGTTTTTGATGGGTGGGATGTGATTGAGATAAATACATTTATAGACTTGGATTTCAAGCCTGAGGATGTTTAAATATTAGGTCTCATCTGCGTGCTCTGAATCAGTGACCATGAAGGGTATATATTGTTAGCTGTCTGATGGGTAGAAAGTGAAAATTCAGACTACGAGTTACGAAGAGCTAATCACAAGAAGATAAGGTATAACTTCCTTTAGGGTTCCAGTTATTTAGAATTGAAATGTTTCAGCAGCCATCCCGAAGGTTATGTGCAGGCTGAGTGTGATATCAAATCAAAGCCTGCCTGAAGTCAAAGAGATGACTTTATTTAATGGCAGCATGTTGTTGAGTAAAAAGATAGTATGGTACGTTTCCTGATTTGCAGAGACATTTGTGATGGGGAGAACCATGTGAGTTGTAACAATGAAAAGAAGTTGGAAAAGCTTTGGTTGTTTTCTTCGGTGCAGGGAGCATTGAGGAGGGACCTGACAGAGGTGTATAAAATTGTGAGGGGCATTGACAAGGTGGATAGAAAGCAGCTGTTCCTCTGTGTAGAAGGGTCATTAACAAGGTGCCATAAGTTTACAGTGAAGGGCAGGAGGTTTAGAGGGAATTTGAGAAAAACTATTTTCATCTAGAGTATGGTGTAGTGGGGGATTTGGAATGCACTGTGTGTGAGGGATAATTGAGGTGGGAAATCTTATAACCTTTAAAATGTACTTGGATGAACACTTGAATTGTCATAACATTCAAAGCCATGGGCCTACTGCGGGAAGGTGGGATAATGTAGTATATTTTCAGCAGTGCAGACTCATTGAGGCGAAAAGCCTCTTCCATAGTGTATGATTCCATGATTCTAAAATAGGATGTTACAAAGGCACTGTGGCAGATTAAGTGACTGAGGAAAACTGAAGTAATTAAACTTGAGAAAACTTGATGTTTTTCACTTTAGGCTCAAGAAAGACAAATCGGAATACTTTCTTGAATTGAAAACCATGAAACTGTGGAAGAGCAAAGTGATTTAAATGTCCTGGTGCACAAGCCACTAAAAACTAGTCCACAGGCACAAACAGCAATCAATAAAGATAATGGAATGTTAGCCTATATCCCGAGCAGGTTGAAATACAAAGTTGTGTTCACTTCACT